TTTACAATATTCTTGACGTGAAGAAGCGACTTTCATCGGCTTTTCCAGTTAAGGACCTTGGTGAACTTACCACAGTGATTGGATGGCAAATCACCCGCGATCGAAGTACTCGGACCCTCAAAATTTCTCAGTCCGAGTATATTTCTGATGAAATTAATTCTTTTGGTTTAGGGGAGGCAAAATCATCATCTTCGCCTCTTGATGGGTACGAAGGGATCCTTCCATCTCTGGAGGGTGACACTAGCGTAGATGAGTCAGTTTATTCCAGCGCTGTGGGAAGCCTTGGTTATGCTGCAAAAGGCACCCGTCCCGACATTTCTTTCGCTGCCTCACAACTCGGTAGTTATAATTCTTCCCCTTCTCAGCAACACTGGAAGAGTGTCTGTAGGGTGCTCAGATATTTGAAAGGCACCCTCGATTTTTGTATTACTTACAGCTTTGGGCCTGCTTCTCATTCTCAGGACCCTAAAGCAATTCTTTTTTCTGATTCTGATTTTGCTTCCGACACTCATTCCCGGCGATCTACAAGTGGATACATAATTATGCTTGGAAACGGCCCCATTTCTTGGCAGTCCCGAAAACAGAAATCTGTTTCGACATCTACTGCAGAGGCTGAATATGTTGCGCTCTCAAAAGCTTCGAAGCAGTCAATCTGGATTAGTTGCATGCTTAAGGAACTACAAGTCACCGACCAATTTCTTTATAAGGGAGGCATGTTAGTATATACCGACAACCAGAGTGCTATGGCAATTGCAAAGGGCACTAATTCTTCAAAAACCAAGCATATTAATGTTGCTTACCACTTTGTTTGCGAGAAAGTCAATCGAGGCGAGGTTTCTATTTGTTACATTCCTTCTGGCAAAATGATTGCCGACATTCTCACCAAGCCTCTATCTGCACCAAAGGCTGGGCCACTATGCGCAGAAATCTTTAATTCTAAATGATTGTACAATTTCGGATACGTTGTTCAGGGGGAGTGTTGGAATTTACCACATTTCTTACGATAATTGGCATTCCTTGCAACTATGAACAACTTTCCTACATACTGCATAATACATCCTGTATTCTATACTTTAATTTCTTTTTGCTGTTGAGATGTTCTCTCATGCATTTGCATGTGCAGGGTAATATGATACTAGGTGCAAATGCAGTGAGAGACATGGTTATGTTTACTTTGCGACAAATAGGATGGCGTTGATGGTGCGGGGTCGGCACTGCTTTGTTCCCCGTGCAATGGTTTCGTGGTCAGCTGTGCTGAAGACTTTTCACTGTAATAATTGTTGTTTGCATACCCACTTTAACTCTAGGATATGCGCACATAAATTCGTGTCTTACATGTAACTTAGAACTTCAATGAAAACAATATTCTTTGAGCTATACATTCTGCTCCTCTTACTATGAAATCGCAACAGCCTTTAGTGGATCTCTCGCATCTTTCATCAGTTGACAACATCTCGCGTCTCGTTCTAGCACGTCTAACGCTGCGCCTTTACTCATTCTGTCAATTGCCTTGATAAATTGTGCAGGAGTCCATTCAATACCAGATTCATCAAACGCGTCATGCAGTAAGCGGAAAAATCGTTCTGTCTGCGTGCCATCAAACGACTCGACAAAATCTATGTTCACTGTGGCCATTTTAGTAGTCTTATTTGGAACTCTGTGCAGGATATGCTCAAGAGATTGAGGACAAAGATGGTGTGGATTCGTAGGTTGGATGGGCAGTTCCCGGATCCTTAAGTTAAACTCAGTAGCTTCTACAGAATTAAAAAAAATCCTCAGATGATTCCGATGAGTTATCAAAGCTAGCAATCTTCAATGAGCGTGTCCTTCGAAAGTTGGCCAGGACAAATAGAAAGGACCAAAAAAATGAGAGAGAAATTTAAAAAAAAATAAAAACTATCGACTCTCAGATCTCGTATGGTTTATCTCAAACAGGAGTCCTATATACTGTTAGATAATTGTTCGAAATGACGGTCCAAGGGTTGATCTAAGTCGTGCGAAGATTTGTTCCTAATTTCGTAAACCGTACTATGCTGATGAAGAGTTTTTGCAAGAGATGATATTTTACACCATAGGAGGAAGCTATGATAGCTAATTCTCTAGGAGAAGAATGACTTTATTTCCGTGAGTCAAGTGATTCAATTGACAATTCGATGGTATGTTGCAGGTTGTTCCCGGAATCTCGCCCGAAGCTCTCAATGTCACGGTTCGATTGTTGATGCGGGAGCAATCAGATATGCGAAGGTAGTTTATAATTTTCTCTATGGCTAACTATCAGAGTATTACTTCAACTTTTTATACATCTATGAAGAACTCTAGAATACTCGTTCTTGACTGATATCTGCTTCTCGTATATTCCAGTCATAGTAGTTCCCAGTCTTGCTACCAATTGCTAGAATATTCCAGCTACAGCTAAGCCGATCTGGAATAATTATAGACTACTGTAGAATAATAGAAACACGTGCCACACAACACTCGGATCACAAGCCGTTACACCCTTCAACCATCCCTTCGCAAAGTTTCCCGAAATCCTAGGTAGTTTTCCTATGATCAGACTACTGCAAGGAAAAACTAAGAAGGGAAAGCACATCCTCGCTCGGCGTTGGTCAACAAAGTGTTCGAAGCATTGGTCCCAATAGTTTTTTTTGCCTCGGATTTTAATTGCATATGCAGCTGTGATGGGCAATCAACAAAACAATATAGTAAAGGAATGGTGGCTGATTACTGTCTATTTTCTACATACATCTCGGAACTGTCCACCGAGGGGAGGCTACTTAAGGTGTCCCAACTCCCAATGCGCTAACCTCACTACCTATTCTACTACACCATATCCTTGATATTCCGAGTGGGCTCGTCATAGCGAAACTGGGTCGTATCGGCCCATGATTCCATATGAGACTTGCTGCAACAATATCTTGTTTCCATATTTGTTGCAACCCTGTATTTGTATGGCCAAGTTGGACATCTCTTTAGATAGCAAGGCTAATGACGTAATAATGATAAGTGTCCGTGCGACAGTCACTAGGAGATAGGCGCAGCCTGTAACAGAAAACCCCCAATAACCTCCTTGCGCCCACGCCATACAGCCGCTCATATGTCCAATAGGTAGCCTGAAGCGCTACCATGTTACCTACTCCAACCTCTTAAATACACACGAGATCGTGTCGGGAACCTAGACGAAATGGAGGGCCCATACGTCCACAACACTCCGTGTCTCCATTTCCAACATAGCCCAACTTCTTTTGTGCCGTCCAGGGCTTTAGAGGAGTGCCGTTGACTCATCAACAATTGAAGTCCTCCTGGCTAATTTGCCGAAACCTCGGTCTTGGCGCCCAAAAAATATCACTCTTAGCATGATCCTTAGAGACTGTTCCCCCTCTCGGTCCACATCTCAGGCGCCTGTTCTTCCTCAAGTTGTTTGTCCCATTAGAGCAACAGTCCCCCATAAGCCAAGACCCCAACTTTGTATATTATGAGTTGATGTCAAACATCTGATAGCTTAGAACCTACTGAATAAGGTAATGAGGATCATTGGATATTGGGATGACACATCTCGGATTAACTAACTCGAGCTTTGATATCTCACCAGGGATATGGTGATCAGGATGTTCAAGATGGCCAGGACAGTCAAAGCTCCAACTTGAGATCTTTTGATCTTCAACACATGTAATATATTTCATATGTAATTTTAGGAAACGAGAAGATAATCTCTCCTCGAGATAGTTTCAGATGGGTATATAGCATCACTGCTGGAGAGGAGTTGAGGAGCAGAGATTTCATCCATACAACTTTACATTGTTCACTTGACCCTCAGTGTCTAACACTTGATTTCCTCCTAGCGGGTATAAATAGCGTCGTAGATTTGTAAAGAATGATGGCCGATAATGAATGAGGCAAGCTCCTGTTTGCAATTGGGGTGACGCCTTTATCGGTCGTTGAGCAAGATGATGCGTGGTTAGAAATGGGTTGAAGACTCAGAAGATAATGGTGAGCGCTGCTGTTACAGGCTGCTGTTACATCCACGTAATTATGTCTATGTACTAATCGCCGATATCCATTTATGGAATTATAAGTGGTCGCCGATCCAACAAATACGAATCGTCGATAGATCACCTCAAGAATGTGGATGATCACCGATCCGATTGATGTTAACCTCCCTGGGGTCAGAGCTACATGTATATATGTCCTACAGCCTAGATAGATACTGTTTCCTGGGTAATTAGAAAATAGACTGTATTACGGCCAGCTTACTTTGTTCTTGTTGTTTTGGCCATAGCCCATCACAGCAGCATGATTGAGAAGTCGTCAAATGGAGATATGGATGTGTCTGCTTTCGACTTCGATTCAGATGCGATTCATCTTGGCCATCCCAGATATGAGGCTTGATAGAACCGGGCTAAAGTAAATTTTACTACTGTGTTGGTACGGATCGCTTTATTCCCGAATTCAGCCACCCCTTCTTACTTCATTGTTAGACTGTACTTTCTAATTTGCTTGAAATTGAAAGAATATCACCTTCACGCGCATATGGTACTAGTGTCATCCTGACAATAACTCAACTTCCATAAACAAAACAAACACGTTCATTTCAATTTATTGGATACGAGATCTCGTGATGATCCAAGCTTCGATTCCATCCATCACCGGCTCGTTCGGAGACGGCTACCTGATTTTTCCTTGTCCACATCATGAAATTATAATCCCACAATACATGACTCTCGAGTAATTAGGAGGGAGAGATTGCGATGATTATGCAAGAGGTAGAGCCCATCCTCTAATTTCTGCGACGCTCAGTCACGTCCACCTTCTTTTCACTCATTCCGGCTACTCCGATAAGTGGTTAGGAACTCCAGATCCCTTCAATTGCTTTCCTTCATTGATGCGTTGTCTTACAAATCAAGTACTATTGGAAAGCTCACGACCTGTCGGGGCTCACCTATTATCAGGAGGCCAGCAGATCAAGCACCAATAGTTTAAAGATAATAACTGCATTTGCAAAAATGGTCTGCCTTCTCGCAATCCTTTTATACACAGGCCAAAATCTGCGGCAAAAGGATCGTTTTGTTATCACGACCTCTGAGGACAAGTATCCTTCTTACCGTAGCTACGAAGTTAATTTTAGACAACCATTTCCAGTGCCTAGCAAAGACTCTGGTATTTACAGGACTTCGGTCAATATCGATAGACCCGGTACTTATATAACGGTTTATTGCTCGAACAAAGTGTCAATTGATGATTTATGGGGGTTTGTCGGCAATGGCTTGACCAGCCTGCAGGGCCGACTCGATGGAGGATTTAGCAACGACGATAAGTTGGAAAATGAATGCTTCAATTACGTGAAGGAACTCTATTTTGCATCAACGGGAGAAGTTGCGAAAGGTGGAGTCCAAGTAACTGGGGAAGCAGAACCGCGCCCATTGCATGTTTCGCATCTCATCCAGTCGCACAAATGTACGGAAAAACTTTTAATCAGTCTAACCTACCAACAGAAAATTTTAAGCGCCGATTGGAACGGATTCACAACGACATACCTTAATAAACGTCTTCCAAAAATATTATTTGATAATCCGATGGAAATAGCGAATGTAGTCTTAGACGGACAGTTTGTGATAAAACAAATCGAAGTAGGCTTTGAAGAGGCATTGGCTTGGAGCCAAGGTCAATTGCAATACTTTGTGCGGGATAATCCCTTACGCCACTGGCGTGAGATGACTGTGGTTGGTTATGAGCCGTACACAGGAATACTCATAACAAGATTCATCCTATCTAACAATGCGCAAGTCAGAAATTTTATTAATAAATTCAATACATGTAAATTTGACGAAAGGTGTACGTCCGAATGTCTCGGGCTACGACAGAAAGCCTCTCTTGGAATAAAAGCTTGCCGCGAAGTTAGATACAGACATATACAAGACAAAGTGGAAAGACTTGTTCCGGTACCGGCCGACGGAATTCTGTACGGTGTCAAGATATGTAAACCGACGGAATGGCCAGAAGATGGTTTCTCGTCTGAAAAGTTAGAGGAATTTTTGGAAAAGTTGAGAAAAGAGTCATGGTAATGACGCTGTAAGCCCGTCATCTTTTAATCGTAATTAGTGGGTCCAGCTTACATCAGCTGTGCCACATTTAGCCTCCCATGACCGAGTAAAAGGAAAAAACCAAAGTTCTCCCACACAAAGATATTCTTCCGATCCCATTTTTTCACACATCTGACGCATAGCATCTCTAACTCTCGCTTTCCACCTCGCAAGGTGATCCGGGTAAGCCCAACTTTCCAAAGAACAGGCAAGCCTAAGAGTACCACTTCAATGTGATATTTAAAGTAGAAGATGCCTAAATGTCAGGTAACTGGGAGAGAGAGGTGTTTTAATTGTACTACTTAAGTCTTGGACTACGGAGCAAATTGAGCTCCTCTTTGGCTCAGGCCACATCTTGTACAATGCTCCTATCCTTATTTATTATTTGAAAGATCATCGATATGTTGCACGTGATGAATAGCTATTCAGCTCAGTATTTATCTGTGGAATTCGGCCACCTTTTCTGTTGGAAATGGAGATACAAAGTGTTGTGGACGTGCGAGCCCTCCATTTCGTCTGAGTTCCCAACACGATCTCGTGTGTATTTAAGAGGTTAGAGTAGGTAATATGGTAGCGCTTCAGGCTACCCACTGAATACATGAGTTGTATGGCGTGGGCGCAAGGAGGTTATTGGGGGTTTCCTATGACTATAGGGCGCCACACTCGTTTATGCTGTGGCTTAGGCTATGTGTCGCTTACACTTGTACTTTGAGCGCACACTTCCCACACTTTTGGCTGTAATCCGAGCATGACACTGTCTCAGTCAACTTCTTTTTTCATTCCTTAATTATTGCTTCCATTTCATTGCGCGATAATTTCAATATTTATCACGGAACCTCTTTACCAAATAAATAAAAATGGTAGCAATGGAAACTGCGTGCGCGGGAAAATGTCTCAAAAAACCTGCAGCCCCAGCCAGACGAGGCCTAGACACCGGGACCACATGAGGTGCGCATATTCATCTATATCTCCCTTCTTTGTAACATTCAAGGCCGACTTGATCCAATCCACCATCGCCGTATCGGATGCTGGGTACGCTCCGGAAACTCATCGGATGGCTTCTCCTCCAAGATTAAGAGTTGGTGATGAGTAGGGTTTCGAACCTACCTTCTTATCTGATCGTGGTTAGCTTAATGATAAAAGTGATGGGGAGTTGTGTTGAGAGATGAAGACAATACAGACCGCGAAAACGATTGGGAATCCCCATCTAAGTGAGGACGACCTTACTCAATCTCGGCTCTGCAGACTCTACAGTGAAAGCTGGAGGCTTGCAGGGGACACCACTGACAGGTGTTGAGGTCCTTCCCCCTCTCGCGTATAGGATCTCAGCGTTTGCCCTTCTAAGTAGATGGTTATAGGAATTATAGAACGATGGAAATCGTTGACTACCATCCTGATTGGATCGCCTGCAGACATCCATATATTCTGCATGCGGCTCACTAAGGTCTGAACCCGAATGATCAATCAGATAACTCATACTACGCGCAACATGAGAAATCCGAACATCCGAAGACCTCTTTATTCACTCCTCCTTCTCTGGCTCGATGGCATTAGTTCTTCAATTCCAAGCGATGGCTAGGCGAGCTAAAGTGCCTCTTATTCGCATAAATAATTCAAACACCATGTCAGACAACTCAAGTAATTACACGATAGCTGTTCATGAAACGCCGGCCTTGCTCCATCCCGAACTGGGTGGAGATAAGCGAGTATAAAATGAAAGAGAAAGAAAATCTCCACCCTGCATCCATCGTGACTGACATTACCCGGTCAGTAGAAATTTTCAAGGAAATTCCGCGTCAAGCTTCCGGTACTCAGTAGAAAAGGGGTCTGTCAAACTCCTCTCCGTCCGAGCCCGAGACATCAGAGAAAGCTGTATCAAAAGTAGCCGAAACAACAGATTCTAAGCTATCGCTGCCGTCAAAATAGGATGCTCGTACAGGCATCGACCAATTCCTGAAGCCGAATGACGATTCGCACAAGCAGCGGCAAAATGGCACTAAACTCCGGCCCCATCCCAGGTGGCGAAGCAACACTTTTCCTTTGAGCACTGCATCAAATATACTATCAGTAGACTACATGAGAGTCTACCTACACGCCACCATTTTGCAATGCACGGCCTCGGGCCTGGCCATCATGCCGCCGTCATTCCTCCTCACCCAGCGAATCCTTTCTTAGGGACTCCTGAGAAAAGGAGCGTAACTCCTCCCGCATCCCCATCCTAGCCTACATGAAATGCCTGAGCTAAGGTGGTTCTAAACGGCCTCTCGAAATATTCTAAAATAACAAGTAGTAGCCTGTGATATAAACACTAGAATACTTCATGAATGCAGCAATAGGAATTGGGCCTCGTAATAAAAGTCGACAGAAAATCTATTACTAAATATTACTAAGTGCTTCTTGGAATCAACTTACAATTGTATGAATTAATTTTTGTGTTTAAACGGGTAATTATTGCTAATCGTAGTTTGAAAGCTCCACATGATCTAGTTACATCATATGAATATTGAAAATGTGAAGTCTAGTCATTGTGAATATTTGTTTTCTAAACAGTGCGCTCAAGAATAGGTTTGTTATGGCTTGAGTTTTGTATGAGCTTAGGTGGATACGTAAGCGTAATTATCAGAATGTTCAGGACAAGGCTACATTGGAGGGAGAGATGGAACTGGGCGAAACGATAATACTAGTCAGGAGATTTGATCGCTGCCGCAACTGAGTGCCACTTAATACGTAGCTGGGTAGAATAGAATAGAATTTGTAAGCAGACTTATGCAAGCATAAGTCTGGATCCGGTCCAAAAGCGAAAGCACGATCTGTGTGCAGGCATGTCAGACTAGTGGAGAGCAAGACTGAACACCTGTACGCGTTATCCTCAGCGAACGTGGGAGTTAAATATTCTCCCAGAGCCAAGTTCAGTCAAATTTCGGAACATCAAAGAAGTTGGCGCACGAGGCAAAAATCCAAATTACTCCTCCACGTCGTTATTTCGCTCCCAAAGAGTTTGACTCCTATCTTCGTCTCATCAAGTCTACAAGTAAGACCTAGTACATCCTCATCCCGATGACCACACCTCTCTTCGACCTTCTCTGGACTCAGTTGACCGCCAAATACACGCCCACGCCGATACTTATACCCGACGGAGGAAGCAAACCGTGTCGCACAAATCTGGGAGAGTTCTTTGTGATGGGCGTGAGAGGGATCAGCACAAGTTGATAAGGTGATACATAGGAAGGATACAATCTCGAAGGGCGTGAAATTCCGAATTTAGGCAAGGAGTTTTTATAAATTGAGCTTTGTGCGTGCCAAGGCTTCAGCTGTGAGGGTGCAGGCGACACTATAAACACAAGCCAACTATGGAAGGTGTTGTGGTCCGCTTCCGGGGGGTGTTCTCTGGTATAGTGTGAGAAGCCTGGGAATCTATTCCACTTGCGGAGGAGACACCTCAGATGACATTTCGCGCGGAGAAAAGTTGAAAGATGATGGAGGCATGTCTAGATAACTCAGGGTTTTTGAGACGTTCCCCTGGGTAGGTTTTTACGGATGAGTGTTGACTTGGGGTGAAGAAAAAGCCACCATAACTTCACAGTGGTACTTGCAAATGAAATCCGAGGCATGAGTGCTCTTCTTGTAAATTGAGTCTTCTTTTCTGTACATTTTCTCCGATATTGTGTCAAAGCTAGATAGCTGCATACGCAATTAAGATGTGATGCAAAAAAAAAAATGTCAGACTAGTAATGATGATCAGGGGCGTTAATAGGGTAGAATTAGATATTGTAGTGCTACGATGGACTCGTAGCACGGAGAACACTAATCAATTCATTCTTGTATTCGCTTTTACCTTTTGACGGCTCACGTGAGATTCACACGAAGACCTCTCTAAGTTTTACAGAATTAAATTTAATTCCCTGCTGAGTCTATGAATATCAAGGACTGCTGAAACCAAATAACATTCCGAAAAAACTCACTTGTTCTTACATGTGCTTCATTTTCAATTTTTTCTACCAGACATTGGGGGTCTTGCCCTACACGAGGCTAGGGAGCTTGTATGATACCTGGAGGAAGGTCATCAGCTAGTAGATTCACGAAGTGAATCAGTTTATATAAGTACCTGTCATTTGTAGCTAAAGTTCTATTTCATCCTCATAGATTAGCAAACTGATTTAATCATCACTAATTCTGTTTCTATCATAAGCTCGTAATTTGGCTGAGTGGAGATCTAACAAAAAATGTCCCAGTCATACCATAATCTTTCAGCCAAATATTATCTGTTGAAGATTCATGTGTGGGATATATATACATATATATATTGTTCGCCCCGTGTGCACTGACAACAAGTAAGAGCCCAGATAGGCTTGAACAGATATTATATCGTTCTTAGTGGCGAAATTACTTTAGGTTACATCTAGCCTAATAAACGATCGGCCTAAAGAGTGCAAATTCTGAGATACCTCGCCGATTACACAAGTACTACTCATTAATCTGGGGGGACTATTCTGAACACCTGTCAGCGGTGTGCCCTACGAACCTCCGGCTCTCACAGTAGAGTCTGCAGAGCTCAGATTGAGTAAGGTCGTCCTCACTTAGATGGGGATTCCCAATCGTTTTCGTGGTCTGTATTGTCTTCATCTCTCAACACAACTCCCCATCACTATTATCATTAAGCTAACCACGATCAGATCATATGGTAGGGTCGGAGCCCTACTCATCACTTACCCTTGATTATGGAGGAGAAACCTTCCGATGAGTTTCCGGAGCGTACCCAGCATCCGATACGGCGATGGTGGATTGGATCAAGTCGGCCTCGAACGTTACAAAAATGGGACATATAGATGAATATTCGCACCTCATGTGGTCCCGGTGTCCAGGCCTAGCCTGGCTGGGGCTGTAGGTTTTTGAGACTTTGTCCCGCGCACGCAGTTTCCATTGCCACCATTTTTATATTTTTTAGGTAGAAGGTTCCGTGGAAAAGGTGGCCGAATTCCACGGGTATACACCAAGCTGAATGGCTATTCATCAAGGGGAATATATCAATGATCTTTCAAGTAACAAAAGAGGCAAAGAACTCTGCACAAGATGTGGCCTGGGTCAGAGATGAGCCCAATGTGCTAGATAGTCATAGACTCAAGTAGTACAATAAACACACATACTCTTTAATCAGAGGATTGTTTACTTGAGCACATTAAGGGGATATACCTTTGTATACTTGCATAATTAATCCTGGTATACTTGCCTGAAATAGGAGCAAAAATAAGCGAATAGTTTCGTACCGAGTGGTAGACCTGGTCCGTATAAGTCTTAATTTTGTGAGTTATCAAACCTTGTGCGCGAGATTGATTGCAAATAATATAACCTTGGCCTTTGATCTTGATAGCCAAAGAAAAGTTTAAACATTTACGAAACCTGCCATTGAGTATTCCGTGCGTATTATAGCTAGGATTCTATTAGATAATTTAAGATCTAGGGTATTTTAATAGTTTGTTGCTCATGCTTCGCAGAAATCCAGGAAAAAATGGTAGTAACAAACTTCGGAATTTATTGTCATGAGCCATTTCATCAACTACAGCAAACACCAATTCTTAAACGATTCCCGTTTTTTACGTCTAACAATTTTATACCTTGCTAGCTCCAGAAGTCATGCAAGAAAAAATAAGAGAAAAAATGGTACTTTGCAATTTATGATGGCTTTTTATGTTCTTCTAGCGGGCAGGCAAGCAAAAGACTATCTCTCACTTAAATTCCACGCCGTCTGTGCTAGATATATGTTGATTAATTTCTGTTGTCATAGGGTCATCTGTCGACGCAAAGGTTTGTCGAGATTCGTCTTGCAACATTTTTGTTGAGCCCATGATGCCGTCAAATCCGATCACACCTAATCTTACAGACTCCTGGCTGCAACATGAATTTTCTCTTGATCTGAATCGCGGCTGCACCGATTCTCTCTCGTCCAGTGCTTCTGTCAGGGCCATTATGCCGTTCATACGAATCTGCTCCTCCGCGCTAGCTAGCCGAGCGCGCTCTTCAGCTTCGCGCTTTGCAGCTTGGGTTGGGGCGCGTGTTTTCAGCTCACCCGTCACAGTTTTCAAGTAGTAGGGCACCTCAATGCCACTTTTAAGGAAGAATAATTTAAGGTTCCGAGCCTTATCTTTAAGTTGAACTTGATTTCGGTCTTTTAGCACTTCGTTGATAGTCCCTCTGGAGCCGTAGAGAGCCAAAATTTGACTCCAATGTGGTCCTTTGACTTGATCCAGACCAGCCATCAAGGCTCTCTCCTCCTCACCACTCCAAGGTCTTCTCTGACTGGGAAGTCCTGGCCGGCGGGTGCTACTTGGACTAGCTCTAGCGACGGCTGCTTGTCGGGCACGCTCGTACAGTACCTGAGTTGGAGCAGTCTGTTCCTTTGGAAGGCTAATACTACTATAGTCGGGCTGAAACGTCTCGTTTTGGTCATGATATTGATATTCTTTTGGGCCTTTTTGCAGTCAGTATTTGATCAAAGTCTAATATATTTACGCACTCCCATAGTGTAATTTTTGTGAAATACCAAGTCCCAAACTCTCAAGTGTTTGTTTGGCAGCTAGCTCAGCTTGTGCAACGATATCATCCTCAATTTGTGTAAGAGATTGATGCAAATTGTTGTCTTCCTTTGGTGCTGCTATTGGAACTAGCAGGGAATGACGTTCCATGAAAGGCCCAAGTAGCGATTCTTTCTCTAAATAGATTGCAATTTGTTTTAGGAAATCTTCCCAGGAAAATGTCTCAGATAGAGACTCTGTGTGGTATTTAGCCGTGCTCCATATCTTGGATCTCCATTCTTACGGATTGAATCCAAATCGACTGGAGCATTTGCCAGGAGCTCACGTCGAGCCACATAAGACTCTAAAAAGTTTTCCTCACTTTCTGAAAGAGAATGATTAGAGTGTCGACTCCGCAATAGCTCGTCCAGGTCATTGGGAAAGAAATCCTCTAGGATATCTTCTCGTGTTCTTTCCTGCTCCTCTTGTGACACAGCAGAAAGGTACATTTGCGTTTTTAAGTTCAGGAAAAGCATCCCTGGTTCTTTTTCAAGTGGAGAGCTCTCTGCCGTAAAAGTATCGATAAAGTGATCATTAAGCTCCAAGAATCCAACATCGTATCCGCAAAAGACACTTGAAATAAAGGTAGCAAGATTGGCTCTTCTTATTGTTGCTCTGTGCTCAGCTCCTACCACATTAAGGGCACTAACTGAAAGGAATGATGAGTGGGGAGAGTATATCTTTTTGGTCTGATCGAAGAGGGATTTCAATAATGCATAGGTTTTTCCAAGTTCGGATTCAGGCGTTGTTACTATTTTGATAGTTTCATGATAAGGCCCGCGCGCTAGAATTGAAAGGATCTGGACTGACTATCGAATTGTTCATTAGTACTTCACTTCAACCTAGACATCGTTTTCCCATACCAAACTCTCTAAAATTGGCAAACTAAGTATCTGCATGTAGAGCTGAGGGTCTGACGTGAAATCGGTTTCATACGGCTGGTGGATGATTTCTGAGTGGCCACAATCGTCTTCTGTCTGAAAGGCCAGCGAGTATTTCTGTTGCTCAGTTGAAGGCGACAAGAGCTGCTGTGTTGCACAGGCAGTTGCCTGTGCGAGGAAAGCTGCTAATTCTATCGAGCCAACGGGCGAAGCTGGCGTATCAACCCTCTGCCGCTTACTTGCCAAGTCTTGCGTCTGATCCGAGTATCTACGTTTCAGTTCGAGTTGTTGTGAAATGTCATAATAGTTAGAGTCCGGTTGATAGGGAGACTCATATTTTACTGTGAAGATGTATTCAGTTTAGTTTTTCTTGCAGCCGACCTGCACGAGAACCACCTTTGATATTGAGATTATAAGGATTGGTAGTAATCGATGAACGAAAGCAGAACGTACCGGAAACTTGTTCAGGGATATCCATATTGAGAATTTTGTGGCGATGAACAGAAGAACTGAATGAGCCTCATCGATCATCTACATAGATAAAAATGTCACTTTTGCGCACTTGGCTAGTCCGGAACATCGTACTGCCCTCCTTATCTAACCCCAATCCAAATATCCCTGTCAACCAACCTGATACACAAAAGCTTACAAATTATGTTCCTATGATAAAAGTATTAATTAATACCAGAATTAGATGCAAGTATCTTTCAACCCCAGTAATTAGAGATGATCGACATAAAGATAGACATTTATTCGTGACGGGCATAAATCTAGTACCCATGGAGCATGACATGAAGAAGACTAGTTATCTTACGACAATAACTCAGATTGATGTTTGACTACTCATGTAATGGATACATTCACTGATACCACTCGAGAACTTTCTACTAAGGACTTTCACCCTCCCCCCAACCGTTAATATCCACCAAAGGGAAAACAGGAAAAACCTTTGGGTACCCTAACATGCCTTTGCCATCTTGTATATAGCCGCCGCGCGAGATATGGCCTCACAGTCCTCCCTTTCTCGAGTGAGGCAGGTGTCCAGGCTATCCAGACTTTAATTCGGGGAGATGACGGCCAGGAGGCAGACCAAAATACCTTCCATTGTTGCCTATTTTCAGAGTGTCGGTTGCACTTTCCCAAATTGTTGCTTCTGCACCCACAGATAATTTTAAGTCGAAGACACTCGAAAAATGTGCGTCCCAGCATGCCCATTTGTGACCTCTTCACTCGTTCGTCCTGCGTCCCAGCTGCCTATCCTCCTTAAGATATGAAGCCCCATTAGAACGAAAGTCTCTCATTGACCAAGGCCCGAACATTGTATATTGTGGCTTAGCTTCCTCCTTGCGGATATAAATAGCGTCACAAACTTGTAGTGGGAGATGGCCGGTCTTTTATGAGGCAAATGCCCGATTGCAATTGGGGTAACGCCATTATTGGTATTTGAGGCGAGGAGGTCTAGTAAGATTGAGGCAGAAGACCCACGTGAAAGTGATGAGTCAGAAATTTGAAATTGAAAACTTCTACGTGACAGGAAGAACCTATAATCTAATTAGACGTGACACTTGTTCATGGGCTCTGAGAGCTCATCGCTACCTACATGACTGGCGGTAAACGACGTCAAATAATGATAATAATAAAAATGACTGGCGGTAAAAGGAGGGCAGAGACCAAACACCTGTACCCGGTGTTCTCTACGAACCTTGGAGAGAAATATTCTCCCAAAGCCAAGTTCAGTCAGATTTCGCAACACCGAACAAGTTGGCCCGCGAGGCAATGATTCAAAATACTCCACCGCCCCAATTTTCACTCCCAACGAGTTCAATTCATACCTGAGCCTCATCAAGTCTACAAGTACGACCTATGACATCCTCATTCCAAAGATCACACCTCTTTTGTTGACTTTCTCTGGCCTCAGCTGGTCGCCAGATACACGCCCACGCCGATATTTGTACCTGACGGCGGATGCAAAGCGTGGCGCACAAATCTGGGAGACAGTTCTTTGGGATGGGCGTGAGAGGGATCAGGACAAGTTGATAAGATGATACAAAGGAAGGATACAATCTCGAAGGGCGTGAAATTCCGAATTTAGACAAGGAGTTTTTATAAATTGAGCTTTGTGCGTGCCAAGGCTTCAGCTGTGAGAGTACAGGCGACACTATAAACACCGCTATGGTTGGATGGTGCAGTGGTACATCGTCTTGGCCGGTCTGCCAAGTAGAGTCTGGATAGCTTGGACACATATCCCACTTGAGACAGTAGATCGCTGGTTCAAATCTGACAAAACACAACCACACTTTTCGCGGCGCTGGTATGCATGGATAACGAAAGGTTTTGAATTTCCGTTTGGTGGGTACTTACGGGGGAGGGTCGACTTTTTGTGTAAGCAAGCATACCTCAAAGTGGTATTTGCGAATGGAATCCAGAGTATGAATGTCTCGAACGTCAAAAGAGTCATCCAATATGAAAACATAGCACCGGTCATGTGTCATCGCTCTATAGCTGAATACACATTAAATGATTAAAAAAAAGAAAAAATAGGGCAGAGCCCAAGAGTCTCTTTCAAGAAACGCGCAGACTGCCGCTAACTGCGCCAGTGAAGGCCATGACCTTTTCAGCACCCTAGCCTTACTTCATGATCATCATTGTAGCGGCAAAAAGTAAGGGAATGTTTCCGTTAATTAGTCCCGTGCTCTACACGCCTGCACCACGGATCTTGCCATCGTGGTCTCCAAGCGTTTCGAGGCCTACGTTCAGGGTGTGGCCCCTCAAAAAGCTAAGCCCTCCTCTCCCTACTCCACCAAATCTGAACCTACAAGCTAATCAAGCGCGGTGAGACGTGGGGTTAACATCTCTCCAACTACACATACATCACAACCAACCTCTACAGGTAAGAATAATCGAGGAACAAAAACGCCCAAGTTAGTGGTACGGTTTGACCGTTGTTTGAGCTTAGGTGGATACCTAAGCCTGTTACTAAGAATTATTACTATGAGGCTGTATGAGGGGGAGATGAAGCTGAACGAAACGGGACTACTACTCAGGAGGCTGAAGCGTTATTACAACTTAGTGACACCTGGAAATACGTGGCTGGGTAAGAAGTATTGTGCCTAAGGACAAGTCACTAGTCTGTAGATTCACAAGGAGGATTAACTCCTATAAATACCTGTTAGTAGTAGCTAGAGTTAGCTTTTCTCCTCATATAGTTTATTAAATCGATTTATTCATCACCAACTCGGTTTCCGTCACAGTTAGTAACATTAGACGATAGATTGTTTGTGCGCCTTCAAAATGATAGCGCACTCCGCGGCTATTTGGGTTATGCATTGCAGATACTCCTAAAGACTAGACTTGGGGTGCACAACAAACTGCTCTTGAGACGGCTTGTGAGCCGATAAGACCTGTAGCCTTCGATGGCTATAGAAGGCAGCCTATATTTTCTATCACTCTGAGGATTATCAGCAGACGAAACCTGATACGAGATCGCCACTGAGGCTACGTAAAGGATAGTGCCAAGAGTATCGTAAGCATTACCCGTGTAGCAGAACAAACCTTAAATCAGTTTTATTGCCACTATAAACGTAGGCTAGATTTAGATACCTCTGGATGTATATAAGTAGCACGGGAGACTTGCAGATAGATTGCTTCTCCATAGATGAATTATAGCTTTACCTTTCAATTATACAAATGCCAAGTTGCTATCTATATTCGAACTGTGACAGCCCTCCTATGTTCTGCCGATAAATACTAGCTTCGCCCTCTGCTCAATTGTAGGCCATGCAGATGATCTGACATAAAAAGTTGACTCCATCGACGTTTTAGGAAACGTACAAATTGAGCTCGCATCTCCACTGACTTCCTACAGAATCGAGAATGTCCCTCGGAATGACGGTACCGTGAATGAAAACTTCAATACTGTCTCCCCGGTAGCCATTCAGGCTTCTTAGGATAGCGAATAAAACGTCCGCTTCCCTTCTACGACTTGAATAGCCCACTTCTCAGATTTGCATAACTGTCTGCCTCGAACTCTTTATTTTTTCGGTTGTAGGACCTATGTACGCCTACTATCTCGTCACGTCACAAAAATTCGATACACCAGATGTTGGCTGTGGCACAACAGCCGTAGCTGCTCAACTGCTCGATGTAGCCTCTGTGGCTCTACTCAAAAAATCAAAGAGAATCATGGCTGCATGTGTGCGGCCACCGGAGATCACGTCTGCCCACCTTGCCGCATTTATTGCCACGGGCCCCACACTGTGGACTCCTTAAACGGTACACTCCGCCCAAATCAATCTTCAGCTCCCAAGTCCAAGTCTCAGGTTAGCGCTATAAGGAATAGAATAGGATTAAATTTTAGTTCCTACTGAGCCTATGACTATGAAGGACAGCTCTATAAGGAAAACTTGCGCGGATGCCCGACTTCGCGCCCAAGCAGAAGCTTACTGCGTTAAAGCGCCTGCAAAAGACATTTCATCGACATCATCCAACAACAACAGCCGGCAAAGACGAATTCTTCACCTTCCGGTGGTGCCGGTGTAATCGCTCAGTATGCTCTGCATATCTGGGATAGCCAAGAAGAATCGCATCCGAATCGAAGTTGAAAGCAACCTCAAACATATCTCCATTTGACGACTTCTCGACAATGCCTCTCTCATCATTATCATCTGAGTCCTCAACCCATCTCTAACCATGCATCATCTCGCCTCAACGACCAATAAAGAAGTTACTCTAATTGCATACAGGAGCTTGCCCCATTAATCTCCAGCCATATCTCACTACATATTTACGACGCTATTTATACCCGCAAGGAGGAAATCAAGTCGACAAATACAAAGTCTGGGTCTTGGCTTATGGGGGACTTTTGCTCTAATGGGACAAACAACTTGAGGAAGAACAGGCGCCTGAGATGTGGAGCGAGAGGGGGAACAGTCTCTAAGGATCATGCTAGGAGTGATATTTTCGAGGAGTTTTCAACTTTGGATATTTTTTGGGCGCCGAGACCGAGGTTTCGGCAAATTAGCCAGGAGTACTTCAATTGTTGATGAGTCAACGGCACTCCTCTGAAGCACTGGACGGCACAAAAGAAGTTGGGCTAAGCTACCAAACAGCAATCACGCCCTGTCAAGACTCTTCTGACATTTCAGCACGACCTTCGGGAAGGAGTTGGAAGGAGGCTAGAAAGGCAGAGTGTGAATTTTCCGAGGTACACACAAATCTGCAGCGCCCAGGTGGCCGACCTCTTCGAACAATACAGAAGGGTCACTATGTCTTCGGATTTAGTACTAATGTCGGTATTAGGAGAGCCCCGCACCCAGTGGTTTTTACGATTTTTCCCGGCTGCCATACATGTGATGGGCTATCACCAAAACAATAAGAACAAAGTAAGCTGGCCGTAATATAGTCTACTTTCTAATTATCTAGGAAATAGTATCTATCTAGGCTGTAGGACATATATACATGTAGCTCTGACCCCAGGGA